TTAGATCACGACACAGACACAGAGAAACACAAGACTTAAATACACAGAGGGAGCAATCTGTGGAATGAGGTAACAATCAGGAATGGGTAACAGGAGGGAAACACAGCTGGGGCAAATCAGGCCTAACGAGACAAAGGAAGCAAAACCAGATGCATTTACATGAGACACAGACTTTCAAAGTAAAACAGGAAACATAACACAGAGACATGAACTTGACAAGGGGAGACAGCTGACAGGGGAGACAGCAACTAGAGAACACAGAGACATAAATCATAAGACAGAACTCTAACAAAGAAACCAAAGACTAGAAATGATAAATAATGTAATAAACTCAAAACCCTGGGTCAACGACCCTGGCATCCTAACTGTATACCAACACAGATGTATAAAATAAACTAAACTGTCTAAATCTTCAAGTGTTACAGAAGAACACACTCAAAATGGAAAATAAATTCAGTTCCAAATAAGTAAATTAGATATTTATCCAAAATAAAATGAAAACATTCCTACAAGTATCCTCAACACAAATTCAAAAAACATTTTAAAAAAAGGAGAACATAAAAAAGACTGACATATTCACCCAGCTCTAGTCCATATATGTTGTAAACTAATCAATCAATTAATACATTTTTAAAAAAGCCAAAAGAAGTGCAGTAATGGCTGTGGGGATGATGTGGGGAGTGAGGCTTGCATAAGAACCAGATGTGCAACTTAAAGTATGACAAATATTTTCAGCTGTCATATATACATATTTACATTGTTTGCGCAGTGGGAAAGGGTTAGGTTATCAGGAATACAGGAAGTCACTTTAATTACAACAGGGACAGTCATCTGCTGGGACTGGTTGTTGGTGTGAGAAAAAAAGAGAGTACAGAGAAACAGTACAAAAGGCAAACTATAGGAGAGATCTATTTTAATAACTGCTAATAATAAAGGGACCAAGCAGCCCAAGTCTATTACATCACAACTAAGGCATAGTTCAGAATCACCTGCTCCACCTACAGCTACAGTCTGGGAAATAATTATTTCATCCTCAGCTGAATTCCTGTGTTTGCCTTCTTAAAAAATGAGCAGTCTCTGTTTTTATGGTAGTAACATTATAATGGAGAGAGAAAGAAAATCAAGCAGTGTCTGAGCTCACTCACCTGGAGGAACATTCAGGTTGATGATGCTGATTGGTTTCCATGAACGTGTTTCTTCCATGAAAGCACGACACACATATGATCCAGTATCAGCGCTGCTCACATGCTTCAAAATCAAAGACACGTCTCCATCCTTCATCTGTCTGTCCTGCAGATCCACCCGGTTCTTAAAAGATGGATGCTGGTTATCTGGAAACTGCCCATCCCGATAAACAAGGAAATATTCCGGCTCCAGGTCGGCTCTGCTCCACTGTACAAATTTGTTTGTATTTTTATTTGGAACTCGACATGGCAGAATAACGTCCTGTCCAGATGCAACTGTGATGGTTTTCTGGTCTGAAAGAAGAAACAGCACAGAGAGGTTAAAGGTCAAGTACTGTTCACTTTTAAAAATTGATTAGCTTTTAAATAAAAAAAAAAACATTAAAAAAATCACACATTACAAAAGAAAATATTTATAAAACAAAAATTTACACAAACTAACAGTATTAGGGCTTCATTGAGGTGGTCAGCACTGTTACCTGACAACAAAAAGGTTCCTGGTTCTAACTGAGCAGTGAGCTTGGGCCTTTCTGTGCAGAGTGTACATGTTTTCTTTGCAACTGTGCTGGTTTCTTTCTGATGAAAATGGTGATACTGTAGTGGCTGCGGGTGTTACTGTGTACAGTCATTGTTTTCGCCGTATTAGCCATGAGACAGGCTGGTTACCTGTCCCTAATGCTCAGATTCATTTTAAACGTAACAATCAGAAACCAAAGAGTTAACAACAGCATAAAATCTACATCTTAAATTCATACATGATTCCTACAGACATGATCTTGGCACTAACATGAAATTAATTCTACTGTAGTTCTTACTCTTTATCTTAGAGAGAAACACAGACAGATTTATAACAGGTAAACCTCACCTGCAGAGACAAACACGAAGACTCCGACAAACAGCAAAGTTAAGAATATCGACGCAGTTACAGCAGACATGTCCGTGTTCTTGAGTTCCAACGATCAAACTCTGCTTGTTATAGATAGCCTTGCATCAGCAAACAACAGAGAACCTGAGTTTAAAAACTTAAATTTATGGTTTAAATAAAGCAAAAGGCCACTGACTGTGAGAACAAACTACTCATGTACATACAAAGTCTCTTAAAGACTTTGTGTTAGAGTGACTTTTGGACTGTAGAATCATAAAGTGTTTAATAATTAACCAGGTGAAACCGCAAGTGATTTCTGAGTTTGACAGAGGATGATGGTAAACTGAGCGGTGGGTTCATTTGAGTTGTTATTTGATGATATGACTGGTATTACTGGAACTGACTGACTGCCTGTTTAGGTCTGGACAGATGTCTCATTTCTGGAAAG